ATAATGATCCCAAAATGCTCCTTGAAATGCTTTTTAAACATTCTCTGGTGAGTCTAATAAACACAAAACAGTATTTTCTGATGAATTATCTTCAGCCAAATCCTAAGGGCTATTTTACATTTCTTTTTTCCTATAGAGCTGAAGCATGGGTTTCACTTCAAGCTCCCCCTAGAGATCCTAGAATTCCAGGGACCTCAGAAGCTGCTAAAACATCTGGACCGTATTGCTTTGTCAGTAGGTGTTACAGCTGCATATGCTGCCCAGCAGATGCTACAGGCAAGTCCTATCCCTGTATTGGTAAAGTTAGGGTGGATTGCTCCTCTGTGCATCCTTTTTCACATATTAACTTGAACATTTGTGTTTTAGTTCCCTACTCTCTAGTTTAAAGAGAAATTTCTGCTGTTCAGTATTGGAGAGTTCCCCCCCCCTTTCAGTTTATATCTTACACTGGAGGGCCCTTTAGGGTCCTGATCCTCCTGTTGCTATCTTGTATTGGCCTCTTCTACTATCCTCTATGGAGGGGGCAATCTCACGTGGAGCAGAAGAAAGGTCACTTCCATGTATCAGCTATCCCCTCCTCAGTTAGCCATGCTATTCCCAGCTTTCATTTTTAAAAAGCGGGTCCTTTATCTCTTCTAGATGCCAAGATAATTTGCCCTTTTCAGTCTTCAATTCAAGACCTAGCAGTTCATTTGAAGGGGAAATTGGAGTCAGGTCTTTCAATCAGGGGGATGATAATCAGGTCTGAGTGTGGGAGGTCCTGCCTTATTTAAAGAACTGAATTCTTGGTATTCAGTATCTGGTCTTCACATTTCAGGTATGTGAAGTGTGTTGTGGCTCCAGCAAAGGAGATTTCTGAGGATCTCCAGAAAATAGTTGTTGATGCTCACCAGGCTGGAAAAGCTGAGAAAACTATTTCCAAAGAGTTTGGACTCCACCATTGATTGAAACACCTGACTCTAATTACCCCTCCAAGTGAACTGCTAGGACTTGAAGGAAGAGGAAAACATGGGGGCAAAGAGTTATTAAGCTCCCATTGGCTGTAGTATTGCTTTAAATCAGAGCTTTAAATCACAGCTCTTCCTGATTTCTCTAGTCCAAGTTGGTATGAAGCAGTAACATTTTCATGCCTATGTTCCATCTTGTGGCATTTTTGTGCAATTCTCTTAATACCTACATTTGCCTCTGCACCCTTAGCTAGGTAGAAATCTGTGTATACTTTTGTATGGCACCTTTTATTTCCCAAGTTTCAGTAAAGCCAAATAAGAAGACTTGAGGCTTTTAACAGAGGTTTTATTGGCCAATGAAACCACCCTGATGGCTCAAGGAGTGTTGCCCAGAACCACACCTTGCAAAGCAAGCAACAAAGATTTTATGGGCATATTCAG